CAAATAAATAAAATCTTTAAAAAAAATAAAGAAAGAAAAACTAAAGAAAGAAAAAAGACCCATGGGACGGCCATGGGTCTCCCCCTGTGGCCGTGGTGAGCCTGGAAGCCTTCCTGCCGGGATTGATCCCCGGGAGCCTGCTTGTGGGTTGGGAGGAGCCGGCTGGCAAGCACTATTTTTCTCACCACACCTCCTGCCCTCGTGGGCCAAGCTAGCTCATCAGTCCCTCTTTCAGTAGCCTGGGGTTATCACCACCGCACCTAGGATGCCACGCAAGTCAGGAGGTTGAACGAGATGCCCCGTGGCCTTGTCTCCCAGGGAGCGAAAGAGCACCAGAGACCAATGATTTTCTAAATTAAAAAAAAAAAAAACAAAAAAACCAAAAACCTTATTAAGGATGAAAGATCTTGAGTTCCGGGGGATTTGGTGTTTTGTTTTTTTAAAACTTTTGCTATACTTTTGCTCAGTGGTATCATAGTAACTGAAGCAGAGAATCAACTCAGGCTCATACAAGAGATAACTAACTGTTCAGGGACCCATCAGGAATTATTCATTTTGATTGTTTGACTTGATGACTCTCTGGGTCATTTGGAAACAGGAGGCCGGTGATGACTCATTATTAACCCCTCCTGGCTCGGGGTGAACATTGCCTCTCTGCTTTCCTTTGCAGGTGCTCAGAAAGCAACTGCAGTGTGGGTCCCTTATGAGAGTGCAGCATTTCAGACATCAATGGCTGGGGCGACAACCAGCTCTGCACCTTTTAGTTAAAGGCAGAAGGAAAACTAGAATCAGTAATCGCATTTATGGTTACATTCAGCTCATCTAAGGACTGTGTGATTTTATTCACCCTGTTGCCAGAGCCATAGCTTTTTTAACACCGGAAATGTGCATTTCAACCACGAAGAAGAGATGTAGAGAGGGCTTTATGTCTGTGGGTTCATGCTTCAATCTTCTGATAGGTTGACTCAGGTTCTTTTTCCAGTCTGTTTTGTCCTTGAAAGGCTGGTTTATGAACTGTTCCACAAGATAAGTTTTCTTTAATAGAAACAAATAGACAGGATGGGTGGAACAAAATTAGAAGAGAGAGGCCTGCAATCAGCTCTTTTTTGTAAAAATGGGTCAGAGAAATGGCTCACTGAATCAAGATAGTACTTTCAGCAAACAAAACAAAACAAAAAAGATGAAAATCACTTGGCATCATTAGTGGGTGCAGACCTTTGTTTTTCCAATTAATGGAAAATCCGTAAGATTAAAATGCAGGTTTAAAGACATGTAGATGGCTATCACATTCTTATCACATAAAAGTTATTTTTCTGTTGCCAAGTGTAACGTTATTGAAAGACTTAGTTAAATGACTGGGGTGATGCGTCTCTAACTAGTCTCCAAAAACCAAAAGGGCCTCCATCCCACTGACATAATTCAGTAAGTTTGGGTGGGGCCGGGAACCTTCATTTTAACAAGCGTTGCAGAGGATTCTGATGTGCAGATGGTCAATAAACCACACTTTGAGAGAAAAGAAACCTGAAGGGCTAGATCTGATTTCATACTCAGATTTGTGTTTCTATTTTTAAGTAATAACGTATACAGTCAGGCCATCTTGGAGTTTTTAATAATGGCACTATATACTGTGTTTCGTTTTCTTATTAATACCACTTTTTGGATGGAGGGAATCAGAAAACCACAGGGTTGGTGGGAATATTTAGACAGAACATGGCACATCCTGAATGGCAGATGTTGGGATGGAGCAGAGAGGGTTTGATCAAAGAGGGAAGTAGCGGGGAGACATACACTGGGGAACAGTGGAATACAAAGTCTCTTCAAGCCCAAGAAAAGGGGTCAGGTCTCTGGCACTGAAGGGCCTCCAAGCAAGGGTATTTAGACCTCTTCTGGTAGGCACTAGGTTACCAGTGTGCCTTGTTGAGCCGGGGACTAACCTGATGCAAACAAGTGTTAGACCCGCGCTCGGGACACACAGCATCTGGTCCAGAAACAGAGGACTAAGGAAGAGGCGAGCAAAGCCAACTGGTTTGTCACCAAAAGGCAGAAGGGAGCAAGGGGGAGCACTTGGGGCCTCGAATTTGGCAGAACTGACACCGAAGGGTTTATGCAGCGGATTTCTCTGTGTTTCTGAAGGCCTGAGCCAGTTCCGTGCTCTTCCCAGCACTCAGCTCGGACATCAGGCCAGGGCAGCTCCTCTGGATTTAGAAAGCCCCTGAGTAAACTACTACAGCTACCCACTACCTTAACGATATTGTGAAGGAAGAAGGGCACAATTAAGCTCCGTTTGGACTGGAGGAACAGACTCAGGGAGTAATTTACCCAGATTCACACATCTGGAACCTGGCAGGACCAGGATTAAAACCTGGAGCTACCTACTCAAAATTGATAGATGTCATGAAAGTAGAATTTGTCTGATTATGAAGCGATACCTCCTGGTAACAAACTGTACAGAAATGAATGACTTGAACGTGAAAGGCCTTCATGATCACATCCTTGAGAAAACAGCTGGGAAAAATTCAGTGTGTGTTGTTCAGACTTTTTTCTTGCAGATGCCAGTATACATTAACTGCCTATGTATGAGCATCACAAGGTTGGAGTCATATTTTATATGTTACTTTACAACTGGCTTCTTTTCCCACTTAATAATGCTAGAACTTGGACATCTTCCTGGTTCAGCGCGCGTAGGTGTAAGTCCTTTCTAATGGCTTCATCAACTAGAGATATTCTTTATTTTAAGTAACACCCTTTTGGTGGATATTTTTACTTCCTAAATTTTCATATTTTTAAGCCATGCTGAGATGAGAGAGAGAGAGAGAGAGAGAGGGAGGGAGGTGTGTGTGTGTGTGTGTATGTGTGCGTGCGTGCGTGTGTGCGTGTGTGTGTGTGGTATATTATATGGCCTAAAGGGAAATCTTAGAATTGGAATTGCTTGGTCACCAGGAATGCATATTATTTAAAAAATTGCTAATTTTTCTTCCAATCCTCATCAATGTTTAGTATGATCAATCGTGCAAATTTTATCAATCAAATAAATGAAGCTGTCTTGTTCAAATTTGTGGTTTCTTAGTTATTAGAAAAATGAAGCATGTTTCATGTTACTTAGTTGTTTATAATTCTCTTGTGACTTGTTCATTCCATTTGCCTGTTTTTACTCAACTCTATCTCTTTCTTATTTTTCTGTAAATGCTCCCTATGCTTCAGAAGCAATCGATGTTCTAACGGTCACAAGGGATACGAACTCTTTTCCTTTTGTTGTCCTTCTCCTTTCTGAGGGAATTTTAAGGTACTAATTGAGCATTAAACACAATGCTTTAAAATAATGTCAGACTTTAAAAAGATTACATCATGTCAGACTTCCAAAAAATTGCAAAAATAGTACATGGAATTTCTGTGTATCTTTCCCCCCCCCCTTTCCCCAGATATTAACAGCTTACATAATCACAGTAGTTATCAAAATCAGGAAAGTAATACTATCACACTGTTACTGTCTAACGCACAGGTCTTGTTCACATTTCCCCAGCATCCGTCTGGTCCAGGACCCCCTGCAGGATCATGCCTGGCGTTTAGGTGTCTTGTCTCCGAGTTCTCTTTTAATTTGAAACCATGCCTCAGTCTTTCTCTGTCTTTCATCATCTTGACACTTTTTAAGAGCGATAACCAGTTGTTTTATGGAACCTCTCTCCATTTGGGTGGGTCTGACATTTCTTCATGAGCGTGTGTGTTTGTGTGTGTGTGTGTGTGTGTGTGTGTGTGTGTGTGCAGTGGCAGATGGGCTGTGGACTTCAGGGAGGCGGCAGACACAGGGGGGCTATTTCCCGATTTCGCCAGGGGTTGTGCAATTGATTAGATGTTGGTACCGGTCACTCAGATGGGGGAGAAGTTTCCTCTGTGCGAGTCAGACGCGCCACCATCTGCCATTCCTGACAGTGTCAGCACTGACAATATCTTTGCCTGCTTTTGTCCCAGACCTCAATATGTCTGCTTAACTTCCAAGGTCTATGTCTTTTCCTCAGAATCTCCCTCAATAACTATTTGTCCTTCTCCAATCATTTCACCGCTCATTCCAGATCTGGGGTACCTTACCCACAATTGCCTCCTATCCTGGGGGGGGGGCAGTTCCTCTCCTCTATGATTTTATCCATTGCTGCTAGACTTTTTTTCCCTTTAAGCTTTATTGAGGTGTAATTGGCAGAGACTAGTTTAATTTAATAAATATGTACTAAGTGCCTAGGTTGGGCAGATCGCCTTATGGGGCAGAGTTGTGAGTTAAATAAGAAGCTAAGTGCAGTCGAGGAGTTTCAGGGCCATTCTGCCTAGTGGTAAAAGGAAACCGTAGCCTTGTCTTACTTCTTACAAAAAACTAATTCCACACAGATCAAAGGTATTTATTCAGAAATATCCAACCATAAAATTACTGGAAGAAAAGATTGGTGGACATATTTTAGGAAGTTTCTTTGGCATTAGTGAGTTTGAGGACCTTTAAAACCCAGATGCCGTAAAGAAGAGATGGAACCATTTAAGAGGCTGAAAGGTACACATTTTGTACAAAAACTAAACAACCTTCAACCAAAAATGCCACCTAAACTAAGAAATGTCAAAAGGAGGATGGAAATAAAAATTTGCCATTTTCAGATGCCGTAAGAATCATTGTTCAGGCAAGAATCATCTTGGATGCTATAATTAGTGGGCCGAGGTGTATTCGCAGATTCTCGAAGTAACTCCCTAAAGATACTTTGTAATTACAAAGGAAAAAATAGTATCTTTGCAAGGAAGAAGCCTGGCAGGCATGATTTAAAACAAGAGATCAGCGTTGACATCACCGATAATGGGGCAAAACACTGCCTCCCTTTGCACTGAGGAAGACCGCTGTTGTTTCTGAGGTATTGTTTTGCAAAAAAAAAAAAAAAAAAAAAGTGCACAACTGTCTCTGTTTCCTGTATTTTGTCTTTGTAGCAGTTCCCACATGTCTCCGCCTCACCCTGCCCTTAGCCGAATGTTCGTGTCGTAAGATCTGATATGATCTGTCTCTTTGGTCACCGTTGTATCACTGGCTCCTAGCATAGACTATCGGTTAATAAATAATGTTGTACAAATAAATGAAGGGCTGGATTTCCTTGGAGCCAGCAATATTTGTAGGAAAGATGCATTTAGCCGTGGAACGTACCGAGTGAGAAATCACAGTTGGGTGTCCTGGTGGAAGGGTATGGAAGACGTTTGAAGACACAGGGCAAACGCTCGGATGAAGCATCAGTTCGAGTCATGAAAAACCGTGTCCTATGGAATAAAGGTATGTCAACGGGAAAGACAGAAAATTAATGGTTGAGATGCAGGGTGAGGACAGGTGTGGGGGGACACCTCCACTTCACAGAGGTCTAGGCAGGAGCTCCTTCTGCGGTAGGGAATATGCATCTGGTCAAGACCAGGCTTTTAGGGGGTTATTTGTAGCCGTCTTGGGCAGGTTTATCTGATGTCGTGAGCCTCGGGTTTCCGTGTGCATCAAGATCTGCTGGGCTGCTTGATAAAAATAGAGATTTGTGGGGCGATCTCAGAAAACTGACTCGGTGGCATCTGGAAATCTGTCTTCTTGTGACCAGGCGCTCTCCTCCTCCACCAAGTCATTACGATGCAGGTGGCCCGGGAACCACAGTCAGAGGAAACTCCACGTAGAGGAGGGGGATGACAGCGACAGGGCGGGAAACTAGGAAGCGGGTGAGTGGTGAGCATGCAGGCACAGAAGCCAGCCGGGCCCTGCTAACCACTTTGGCAGGGTGAGGGGCTCATTAAGCATCTTTAAATGGACTGCCTGCCAGGCAAGGCTACGGAAGGACACAGCGGATTTTGCTTTGGTCCACTGCATCGAAGAAGAGATTGTCTAGTACAAAACCGAAAATGTGATCATTCCTGTCCATGGGAACGTGTCGAACTGTTACAATTCCTGTGGTCAGGGAGCATTGGAGAAAGGCTCCTCGAGAAGTATTCGAGGACAGCTTTTGCTTTTGAGTAGTAGTGCTGGGCTCAATTCATCTTGGTCATGGACCGTCCTTAGGAAATCTATGAAAATTAAATAAAATGGATTCATAATGCCCAAGGACTGACCTTGTATCTCTGAGCTTCGGGCAACTGGCAGGCAAGAAAATGAGGTTATTTTTAAAATTTATTCTGACTCATTATGCTTCATCGAATTAGATAACTCCTGGATAGTATTTTGTTACAAGCTTATTGCAGCAAAAAAGAAGGAAGTATGTTAAAGTTTACATTAAAGCTTAGTGGCTTGCGGATGGCTTAATTTTTTTTTTTTTTTGGATGGCTTATTTTTAGAAGGCATAATTTCCAGGAAATTTTAGTACCTCAACAGCAGAACAACAAAATTAACATGCTCGTATGGATTTAAGATGACAAAATAATTGTGTACAAAGGTGAATTTCTCCCTGACACCTCAGATTCATTTTCTAAGTGTTTTATGATGCATATTAATTGGATCATCTCATTAAGAAAAAAAAAAACAGAATCCTAAATTAACACATTTATGTGCATGTGAAATGCCTTTTGAATACCACAATTTAGAACTTACATTAAAAACCAGCACATATTTGAATTGAACTGAGTCTTGGTAGAATAATTATGTGTTTGAATTTCTCAACTCCATATTCCAGGTGGTCAATCCACAGACTATAAAACAAGTGAAGGGAATGAATGCTCATTTCTTTTTTTGACATAGACAAGATTATGAATCAGATATTTGTAATGGCCGAACTGAAATTTCCTTTCTCTCTTTTCTCTGCTTAAATACATTTGCTGAAAAATCACGAAACATAGAAAACAAGGAACAATCCTCAGGAAGCTAGAAGTGCAGTGGTATCTTAATTCTAGAGATGGTGAAAATAATGAGATAATAAAAATAAGAACAGAAATTAATCAGATAAAGTTGCGAGGAAAAACCAGCCCAAAAGCTGATTCTGTGGAAATCATTGATGACGTAGCTAAATTTCTGACAATGTTAACCCAGAAAGAAAGAGGAAAACCCACAAATAATTAGTATTAGGAATGAAAACTATAACTACAGACCCATTGATTATTTATTTATTTTGGAAAGCTTTTATTTATTTATTCATTTGAGAGAGAGAGAGCAGGGGGCGGGGGGAGGGGCAGAGGGAGAGGGAGAGAATCTCAAACAGATTCCATGCTGAGCATGGAGCACAACATGGGGCTCGCTCTCACGACCCTGACATCCGGACCTGAGCCGACACCAAGAGTTGGACGCCTAACAGACTGGGCCACCCAGGCACCCCAGGACTCATTAATAATTTAAGACATCTGAAGAGAACACTGACTATCTACATTTGACAAACAGATAAAATGGGGGAAAAATAGAAAATCTGAGCTACTAAAATTGACTCCAGGAGAAAGCAGAAAACCTGAATAATACAATAACCATTAAAACACTCCAGTCAGTAGTTAAAAGTTTCTCATAGGGGCGCCTGGGTGGCTCAGTCATTAAGCGTCTGCCTTCCGCTGAGGTCATGATCCCAGGATCCTGGGATCGAGCCCCGCATCGGGCTCCCTGCTCCGCGGGAAGCCTGCTTCTCCCTCTCCCACTCCCCCTGCTTGTGTTCCCTCTCTCGCTGTGTCTCTCCTTGTCAAATAAATAAATAAAAAATCTTAAAAAAAAAAAAAGGAGTTTCTCCCCAGTTGCCCCACCCCCACACACACCACCTCCATGTATAATCCTTGGGTCAGATGATTTTAAAGGCGTGAACTTTCATTTCTATCATTCTTATCCAAGCCCCAAGGATCTGACTTTGCCCTGATTTCACCATCAACTATCACGTGCTGCTTGAGCTTGAACTCGGGAATCCTATGCACCTAGTTCTGAGTCCCTGCTCCACCCCTTACTCAGGTTACTTATCTATTCTGGGCCCCCCCCCTTTTTTTTTTAAGATTTCATTTATTTATTTGACAGAGGGAGACACAGCGGGAGAGGGAACACAAGCAGGGGGAGTGGGAGAGGGAGAAGCAGGCTTCCCGCGGAGCAGGGAGCCCAATGTGGGGCTCAATCCCAGGACCCTGGGATCATGACCTGAGCCGAAGGCAGACGCTTAACGACTGAGCCACCCAGGCGCCCCTATTCTGGACTCTTGTTTCCTTATCTGTAACGTGCAGATAATGGTGTGGTCATTTGTTAGCACCAAGCATCGTGTTCTATGTTTTATAGGCATCCACAGCTTTTTCCTTACTTACTGTTCTCAACCCCACTTTGCAGCTGGAGAAGCTGCGATCCTGCATTTAGTGGTTGGAGTCAGAATATGAACCCAGGTGGTCTGACCCTGGAGGTTGCACATCTGATCTCTAGGCTCAAATGCCCCTTATCTTTTCAGGCTTTGGTGAGGGTTAGCGGGTTATTCCAGTTAACCGGGGAAGGAAAGCTTTCTGTTCACAGTCATTATGATGATGATAACTCTTTTGCTATATTAAAGGGTATATAGTGCTACAATAATCCCTCACCTGTCCGGAACTCACCTTGCTCTTATCTAGGACACAGTGGAGAAAAAAAAAGGGGGGGGGGTAAGAAAATGGTCTTTGTGTAGCCAGTTTGGAAATCATGTAGCACATTCACTGTAATCAGCGTACAGTTTGCTCACAGGGGGACCCCTTGAGATCCATGTCCAGTCTAAACTCTAATTTTACAAATAAGTGTAAATTATTTCATCAGTGATCTAAAATTAAAAGGACAGAAAGACTGAAGTCAGAGGGAAGTTAAGTAAAGCAGTTCTTTTTTAACTGATTTTGTATATAAGAGCAAATGAGAAATGGAGCAAAGCATTGCTATGGGCAGGTATGTTGAAATAAGGTTGACTCATCAAGAAAGAGTTAAATAGTAATTACATCTTAATCAAAGAAGAATGTAATATCTTGGAGATATTAAAAAATGGTTAAATTTTACAAAATTCTATTATTATTATTATTATTATTTTAGTGATACAGAATCACTACTTTTTGCCATTGGAAGGAATTATATAGCTGAAGAGTTTGTTATGTTGCCAGAGAAACCCTATATCAATAAGGCAGTATCTTACGAAATCCTGGGAGTGTCCCAAACAATGGCACTTATATCTTATACGGTAACAACAGTTCAGAGAAGGATAGTTGTAGGGTAAAACTCGGCAGCTCGGCAGCCTCAGCAAGAAGCCAGCCTCATTCCACCCTTTGGCTCCACCACCCTCTGCACACCAAGAGCTTCTCAGGCTTGACTGCCGTGTTGCAAGATGGCATTTGCATTTCAAGTCTTGCATGAAGACACATGTCCGGCCAATGAGAAGGCACATACGTATTCTCCAGAATGTCTCCTGGTATTAGAGATGAAAAACTCTCAGAGTCCTCCCAATGGTATTCCCCCTTTTGGTCCCATTGTCCACGATTTGGTCACGTACCAACTAGCCAACTAGTCCTGAGTGCAAGGGACACTGGGAACGGGAAGGTCTCTGGTGAGGTTAGTGCCTGCTGGTAAGGAAGACATGGCAGGCATGGGGGGCAAGTGGTTGCTGGGTGGATTAACTGAAAGTGTCTGTCAAAAACTAATTGCCGTGAAACAAGTCCCTCCACATCAGTCATCTCTGATCTCTGTAACAGAAATCAACACTGGGAGACGGAGGCAATTAACCTCACTTCCCTGATCACCTCATGTGGGAAGGGGTTGGTTTTCTTTGATTTTTCTACTGCGTGCCAGGAACTGTAATAGAACTTCTATTTATTACTTTATGTTTTACCTTACATATGTCTCTCTCATATATTTAAGCTCAGTCGGGTTCTTCTGGAAAGTTGTTCTTTCCCCCCGTTTAAGAGAGGAAGATTAAGTACACAGAAAAGGTTATATAAGATGTCATAGGGGCGCCTGAGGGGCTCAGTCGGTTAAGCATCTGCCTTCAGCTCAGGTCATGAGCCCAGGGCCCTGGGATCGAGTCCCGAGCCAGGCTCCCTGCTCATCGGGGAGTCTGCTTCTCCCTCTCCCTCTCCCCACCTGCTTGTGCTCCCTCTCAAATAAACAAATAAAATCTTAAAAAAAAAAAAAAAAAAAGATGTCGTGGCACTCCCAACTCATAAAGGGTGGAAGCTGGGTTCTCCTACAGGTGTATATGGCCCCAAAGCCTGAGCCGTTGGTGCTAAAGGTCCCCAACCATTTCATTCTGGTGTCAGGACAAAAATGCTATTATGCTACGAGAAATAATTACTTTATGGCCAAAATGAGACTTGATAGCTTTAAATGTAGCCTAGACTTACCTTGAAGTAATT